TACAGAAACCATGAACACAGTGGAAACCATGACAACAAGACAGTTTTAACTGGTGTTTAGATGAGATAAGTGGTCCAGTCAAAGATCTACTAATTCCTGCTCAGACTTCAAGATGAAAATGTGCTTTTCTTATCTTCTCTGTCACCTAGTTCTCCCATGTAAAGATATACTTCACTTATAAAGTGTTCTGTAGCTATTCAAGCACATCTGCAGTAAAAATAATGCTTTACTTTCACTGTTGTCGACTGACAAAAACTTTGTTATATTCTGGTTTTACTTCTGTTGTGGTAAACACTGCTCATTAATGGATTTAAAAAATGATGAAGCTGGTGGTGTTGTTTGATATTTTAGCCACAAAAGAACACTTTGTCATGCAAAGTTCATATCTGCAGTCATATGAAACAGGAAAGGTTCTTTATATCCTACATGTTGGTGTGAAACTTGGAGAATGCTGTTCAACAACATGGTAAAGTTTAAAGCTTAGACAGTAATCACCCTTCAGCTGCCTCTAACGTCCGATCTATGGAGACTGTTTTTCTACTGAGGCTTCAAAATAAACTTACTGGTCTCCTTACTTGTCTAAATTAAAACCAGTCGTTCTTCTAAAGGATGAAAATGTAAATTAAAAAAAAACAAAGTGAGATGAACAACAAACAATAGCTAAATTAAATTCAGAAGTGGACGTACCTGTTGCTCGGTGTCTCGCTCATATCAACTGACTGCTGCTCAGAGTTTAATAAGTCTGTAAACCATTGACACCATTATGGCTCTTAGCGTCTCCTAGATGAAATCCGGATCGTAAATGATGTTGACCTGAAAAACCTTCAAGTTTCTTCACGTTATTTTCCCTCACAGAGTCTGTTGTGGGTTTTTAAAACAGTTTTTAGCTCACCACAAAGTCACAATTAACACCATGTGAAACAGAAAGTCTGCAGCCTTCAGTGCTAATGAGAGTGGAAACTACAAAGAAAGTGTTGACTGGATTTCTGATTCATAAATCATTGTGCACAAGGGTTCATAAACAGATTTTTTTTTAGGACACTTGTATCCATAGTTTAGTTTTACTTTTAGTGTCTGTGTGAATGACTGACCTTTGACCTGTTGCCAGGTAACTGATTGTGGTATAAAATGAACTGCAATCAAAACCACTGACAATCACAAGATTGTTTATTGTCTCATAAACATACCAAATGTAGAGCATTCAGGAGGTTGTTGTTGGGTGTCATATGTTGCTGCTGGGGGCTGAATATTGAGTTATTTTTGATGAACATCTTTAACATTTACACAAAATGAGTGAAGCAGAAAATTAANAGAATATGTCCTTTGGAGTGTGTGGGAGTGGTTGTGTGTTGCTGTAATCCGAAGCTCTCCAGGCAGGAAGTAAAGTCTTTGGTAAGAGGCAGATTGATATTGTCCATGTGGATATTGAAATCCCCCAGCAGTATTATGTTTGGTGAAAGAGAGGATAGATGGGTGAGGAAAGCAGCAAAGTCAGTTAAAAAGTCGCTATTCGGTTTTGGGGGGCGGTAGACAGTTGCAATGATGGTTGGAATGGGACCAGACAGCACACAGACTCCTTAATCATTCTTCTCAGACTTTCTGTTTCCATTGTGCTGTAGGATCCAACAGCTTTGACCACAACGTTAACTCTGAGTTCACCAAAACAAGTAGTAGCTGCTGGACTTCACTCCAGTTCTATAAAGGAAACAGAACAATGGAGGTTTGTTCTGTTTGAATATAAGGTGAACTTTACATCATTAATGGTGATATTAGCCTCAGTGACGACACCCTTGCCCCGAGTCGGTAGTTTGTTTGTTTTGTTTTTTTTTTTAGCTCAATAAATGGTTTTCTCTTTCTACTGGTAGCAACATGCACAAAGGTTCAAGCTGCCCAAAGATACCCCACAAGTTCCTGCATTGATACACAGCTTTTGGTTGCTGTTGTAAATCCGGACGTTCAAACACAATGAATGAACCTTATAATGTGCATGGAGCTACAGGAGGAGCTCTGCTTCACACATCACCTTTTCTTTGTCGTCCCAAACCAAACAAACAAGAGAAAATGTCCAATTCTGTCTCCAGACTAAGAACAAGAAATGACATTTTACCTGACTCTGGTGTCTTCAGAGCAAAGTTTATTAATGTGCTTCATCCCTAATAAATACACCAATGAATGCATTCTTAACTGCTGGATCAATAAGTGAGAATCTCTCCTTACAGACACATGAGGTAACATTACTGCTCCAAATGATTTCTTGTGAAAACAAATTTTCAGCTTTCTATTCACAATCTTTGCTGCTTAAACAGTCATGTACTATATGAACCAACTGAGAAGACATTTATTGTCCAAACATGCACAACCTGATGTCAGAGTTTGAAAGCTGTGTGAAAACTATGCACACATTCACTAACCACTAGATCTACTTACCGACAACAAGCTCCATGAACGTGTCTTCTCGTGTCTCAGGAATGAAGCATCTGTATCTCCCTGCATCAGCCTGTTTCACTTTGGAGAGTTTCAGTGAAATGTTTCCGTGCTTCAGTTCATCATTGAACATTGATGTTCTCCCTTTGTAGGCAGGATTTTTCATATGTTCAAGTTCCTGAGCCCAACGTGACACATAGACAAATCTGGGCTTCAGATCAGGTCTGGTCCACTCCACCGTCAACGTCGTAGCATCGTATTCAGGTTCCAGATAACTTGGCAAAATGATGGAATCACCAAGTGTTGCCACTATTGGCTGAGATGGACCGACTACCTGAGACTGACCTGGAAAGAAAAGATTTGTATTAGTTTCTGAATAACAACCAGAAGGAGCTGAACCCTGACACGACCTCCAGGTCTGGAGTGAAACATAAATGCATGTAGAGTTTTCTCTGTGGTTATTTTGGATCTTCATCCACATCCTACAACCTTCATCCTCATTAATGCACATAAACCAAGCAGCAAACTTCTGAGGCTGAAAAATAAAACCAACAGTGAAGTGCAGTTCCTTAAATGTCCACTTGAGGCTCCATAAGTGAGTCAGTCCCCAACTTTACATCAGAAATCAACATGTTAGAAACATATTTTTGGTTTCTATCACTAAAATGCAGTCAAGTTGTATAGATTGTAATTTGTGGGAGACAAAGCCGATGAGTAGCTTCTTTCAGTCTTTTCACTTGTTAATTTGTTTTTATCCAGAGGGTGAAGGGATTTNATCCTGGCATGATTATTGTTGATTATTTAAATATTTACTGTATTGTCTGTCCCCAAAACCCACTGGTGGACACCGGCGGTGTGGGAAGCCATCAGGCTGAAGAAGGAGACCTTTCGGGCCTGGCTGGCTCGGGGGTCTCCTGAAGCAGCAGACAGGCACCAGCTGGCCAAAAGGGCTGTAGCTGCGGCAGTCGTGGAAGCTAAAACTTGGGTGTGGGAGAAGTTCAGGGAGACTATGGAGAAGGACTTTCAGTCGGCCTCGAAGAAGTTCTGGCAAACCGTCCAACACCTCAGAAAGGGGAGGCAGGGATTCGCCCAGGCTGTGTACATTTGGGGAGAACTGCTGACCCAGACTGGGGATCTTGTCGAGCGGTGGAAGGAGCACTTTGAGGAACTCCTGAACCCGGTAAACACGCCCTCTGCTGAGGGGGCAGAGTCTGAAGACTCGGGGGTTCATTCGTGGTAGAGGTTGCCGAGGTAGTTAAGAAGCTCCTCAGTGGCAAAGCACCAGGTGTGGACGAGATTCACCCTGAGATGCTGAAGGCTCTGGACATTGTCTGACTGTCATGGCTGACACGTCTCTTCAGTGTCACGTGGGCATCGGGTACAGTGCCTGTAGAGTGTCAGACCGGGTGGTGGTTCCTATCTTCAAAAAGGGGGACAGGAGAGTCTGTTCTCCAATTACCGGGGTATCACACTTCTCAGCCTCCCCGGAAAAGTTTACTCTAGGGTGCTGGAAAGGAGGCTTTGGCCGATTGTCGAACCTCGGATTCAGGAGGAGCAATGCGGATTCCGTCCTGGTCGTGGAACAGTGGGCCAGCTCTTTACCCTTGAAGAGCTGCTGAGGGGGGCATGGAAATTTGACCTACCAGTCCACATGTGTTTTGTGGATCTGGAGAAGGCCTATGACTGTGTTCCCTGAGGAACTCTGTGGGGGGTATTGAGGGAGTATGGGGTACCGGGCTCACTGCTACGAGCCATACGGTCCCTGTACAACCAAAGTGTGAGCTGTGTCCACATTCTCTGCAATAAGTCGGACACGTTCCTAGTGGGTGTTGGACGCCACCAGGGCTGCCCCTTGTCCCCGATCCTGTTTGTGGTTTTCATGAACAGGATCTCAAGGCGCAGAGGTGGTATGGACACGTGATATGGATGCCTCCAGGGAGGCTTCTCTGGAGGTCTTCCGAACACATCCACCTGGGAGGAGACCCCGGGGCAGACCCAGAACCCGCTGGAGGGATTATATCTCTCGGCTGGACTGGGAACGCCTCGGGATCCCCCAGGAAGAGCTGGAAAGTGTCGCCGTGGGGAGGGAAGTCGGGGACGATCTGCTCCGTCTGCTGACCCCGCCCGACCCCGGATAGTGGAAGATAATGGATGGATGGATTGTCTGAGCTACATGAGAGAATCACTCATCTGCTGAAGTCAACCTTCTTCATTATGAAAGATTTAGTTTTTATAACTAAAGTTGGAGATGTCTTCCTGTTCATTGAAGCAGGTTAATTAGTGGCACGGGCTGAGCTCGAGGCCCTACTTGTACAGAGTACAAGTAGGGCCTCGGGCGAAGCNTGGTTTTTATTTCTGCTTTTCTCTCCACCAGCTTCCTCAAAGACGCCAACAGCAGCATCAAACTCAGGCGAAGCAGCTTCAGCAGGTGAGAAAACTCAGATCTGCAGCTTTTATCAGAATGATGTCATTTAGGTGGAGGTTCTTTGGAACCATTAAATCATAAAAATAATCATTTTTACTTTAAATTTACATGTTAACTGTCAGAAAATGTAAAAAAAAAAAAAAAAAAGAGAGAGAGCGAGATCTGTCATTTACAAAAATGATCTACACCAAAAACGAACAAATATTGAGTCTACAAATTTTTATATTTAAAAAAAGAATATGTTCAAAGTGGATTTATTATTTTATACTTGCATCCGACAGTTCTCTGTTTGTTTTTTCTGTTAGTGAACATGAGTGAACATCTACATTTCAACTAACGTTTTATATCTTTTAAATTTCAGCCTCTGGAGGTGAAGCTGAAGAAGATGCGTTGACTTACGCTGTGGTCTTCACAAAGAAGAGACCAGACAAAGGTTTATTGTTATTCTTGTTTTATATTTGAACCTATGATGAACACAAGCAAGGCCGACTTCTTAGAACTTCATGTTAAAGGACCTGAAAGTGTCAGTTGAGGTTTTGTCACCACGGAAAGCTGCTGGATTTATTTTTGCCTCCAACGTTTTGTTTCACACGCTGCTGATGCAGGAGATCATCTGAGCGGCTGCCTCGAGTCAAACCACAGCAGAAAACCAGCGACAGAAGGTAGGAGGGTCAAAAAAAAACCCCTTTCAGTGTTTGCATCAGTATTTATATTTAACTCTGACCTTTTCTCACCTTCAGGTGCAGATAAGTCCTCGGTTCAACCCCTTTACTCCACTGTGATGGAGACACGATGTCCTGGTTCGTATCCAATCAGCTAAATGTGTTTCTACAATTTATCACAGTTCATGTATTCCCTGAACTGATGCAGTAAAATAATTCTACTTTTTGCTGATTTAAATGCAGTAAAACTGTTCAATTTTATGGTCAAACACTGTAAAAGAATTTGAGTACAACTTGTTGAAAAGTAAATAAATACAGATTTTGTTTATTTACAGTTTTGTCCACGTTTCTTAGAGTCTATATGTTTATGAATCACTTATTTCTTGTGATTTTACTTGATAGTAAAATGGGGAGAACATTAAAAATAACAACAAATTGTTTAAAAAACAATAGAGTCAGTGAATTTCAAGTCAAACTGTTGTGAATATTTGACCCAGTTTTGAACTTTAGGATTCTTTGGTGCAAACTTATGTTGTCAAAAGGAAAATCTGTCTGAATATGACAATTTAAACATTTACATCGGTGTCATTTTACTAATATCTGCTTTTCAGGTTGTTTTTTGTTTTGTATATTGAAATAAAACACAAATTCTTCTTGTTTTTGAAGCAGAATCTGGATCATCAGGCTCCACGTTGCCCTTCAATCCCACAGCAGCCAAAGAGTCAAGTTTACCAGAGCAGGAAGTCGTGTATTCTGCCGTCCAGACGGTAAGAACAATGGTGATCCTGGCATGATTATTGTTGATTATTTAAATATTTACTGTATTGTCTGTCCCCAAAACCCACTGGTGGACACCGGCGGTGAGGGAAGCCGTCAGGCTGAAGAAGGAGACCTTTCGGGCCTGGTTGGCTCAGGGGTCTCGTGAAGCAGCAGGCAGGTACCAGCTGGCCAAAAGGGCTGCAGCTGCGGCAGTCGTAGAAGCTAAAACTTGGGTGTGGGAGAAGTTCAGGGAGACTATGGAGAAGGACTTTCAGTCGGCCTCGAAGAAGTTCTGGCAAACCATCCAACACCTCAGAAAGGGGAGGCAGGGATTCTCCCAGGCTGTGTACATTTGGGGAGAACTGCTGACCCAGACTGGGGATCTTGTCGAGCGGAGGAAGGAGCACTTTGAGGAACTCCTGAACCCGGTAAACACGCCCTCTGCTGAGGGGGCAGAGTCTGAAGACTCGGGGGTTCATTCGTGGTAGAGGTCGCCGAGGTAGTTAAGAAGCTTCCCGGTGGCAAAGCACCAGGTGTGGACGAGATTCACCCTGAGATGCTGAAGGCTCTGGACATTGTCGGACTGTCATGGCTGACACGTCTCTTCAATGTCGCGTGGGCATCGGGTACAGTGCCTGTGGAGTGGCAGACCGGGGTGGTGGTTCCCATTTTTAAAAAAGGGGACCGGAGAGTGTGTGCCAATTATCGAGGTATCACACTTCTCAGCCTCCCTGGAAAAGTTTACTCTAGGGTGCTGGAAAGGAGGCTTCAGTCGATTGTCGAACCTCAGATTCAGGAGGAGCAATGCGGATTCCGTCCTGGTCGTGGAACAGTGGACCAGCTCTTTACCCTTGAAGAGCTGCTGAGGGGTCCGGGGAATTTGACCTGCCAGTCCACATGTGTTTTGTGGATCGGGAGAAGGCCTATGACCGTGTCCCCTGAGGGACTCTGTGGGGGGTATTGAGGGAGTATGGGGTACCAGGCTCGCTGCTACGAGCCATTCGGTTCCTGTAAAACCAAAGTGTGAGCTGTGTCCACGTTCTCGGCAATAAGTCGGACACATTCCCAGTGGGTGTTGGACTCCGCCAGGGCTGCCCCTTATCCCCGATCCTGTTTGTGGTTTTCATGGACAGGATCTCAAGGCACCGTCATGGTGAGGAGGATGTCCGGTTTGGGGACCTCAGGATCGCGTCTCTGCATTTTGCAGATAACGTGGAACTGTTGGCTTCATCAGACCATGACCTTCAACACACACTGGAGTGGTTTGCCCTGGAGTGCTACTGCAAAGCGGCAGGGTATGTGGATCAGTACCTCCAAGTCCGAGGTCATTGTCCTCTGTCGGAAATCAGTGGATTGCCACCTCCGGGTGGGGGAGGAGTTGCTTCCTCAAGTGAGGGAGTTTAAGTATCTCCGGATCTTGTTCACGAGTGATGGGAAAATGGAGCGTGAGGTGGACAGGCGGCTCGGTGCGGCGTCCGCAGTAATGCGGGCGCTGTACAGGACCGTCGTCAATATACCAGTCCATCTCCGTCCCAATCCTCACGTATGGTCACGAGCTTTGGGTCATGACCAAAAGAACGAGATCACGGATATAGGCGGCAGTAATTAGTTTCCTTTGCAGGGTGGTTGGGCTCAGCCTTAGAGATAGGGTGAGGAGGTCAGACATCCGGAGGGAGCTCGGAGTAGAGACGCTGCTCCTTCGCGTCAAAAGGAGCCAGTTGAGGTGGTTTGGTCATCTGGTTCGGATGCCTCTGGAGAGGCTTCCTCTGGAGGTTTTCCGAACACATCCACCTGGGAGGAGACCTTGAGGCAGACCCAGAACCCGCTGGAGGGATTATATCTCTTGGCTGGCCTGGGAATGCCTCGGGATCCCCCAGGACGAGCTGGAAAGCATCGCCAAGGGTAGGGAAGTCAGGAACGACCTGCTCCGCCTACTGCCCCTGCAACCCAACCCCAGATAAGCGGAAGATAATGGATGGATGGATGGATGGATGGATTGTCTGAGCTACATGAGAGAATCACTCATCTCTCTGAAGTCAACCTTCTTCATTATGAAAGATTTAACATGAACAGCTTGATGTTTTTGTAGTTTTTATAATTAATGTTGAAGATGTGTTCCTATTCATTGAAGCAGGTTAATTAATGTTACCATATGAGGCACATTGCACTGAGGTTTTCAACGATCTTCTTCAGACATTGACCTTCATAATAGGATGTACAGTTGTCAACAAAAATTTGCATAGAATTGTTCAGACCATGTGTATCATGTCAGTCTTGACCTTTTAATGGCTGCTATAACTCTTGATTTTCTATGATGGAATCATTGAAACACATGAATCTTTGTCACAACAAACAACCTTGTACTTTGGGTCTTTCATAGATTTATTAAAGGTCTTCTGGAGCGATGACAAAATCTGATCAGTCAAAGATATGCATACAGCAACTTGAATTATCAATTTTGATCAGGAAGAAAATACAACTGAACTTGAACCCCAAGAACATCAAACCTACCATCCAGCATGGAGGTGGCTGCATCATGCTCTGGGGCTGTTCTGCTGCCAGTGGACCTGGAGCTTTACACAAAGTCAATGGAAAAATGAAGAAGGAGGATCACCTCCACATTGTTCAGGAAAACCTAAAACCATCAACAGAAGGTTGATCTTGGACACAGTTGGATGTTCCAAACAGAAAATGAGGCCAAACACACATCAGGCTGGAATTCAGCAGGTTTTGTCAAAATACCAGAAGATGTAAAATAAATCTTGGGAAACAATCAAACTGTTTGACCGTTTGTTGTGACAAAGGTTCACGTGTTTCAATGATTCCATCGTAGAAAATTCTGTTGTAGGAGTCATTGGAGACTTTACATGAGCTTTACAGGTTCATCAAACTGGTTTTCATGACTGTAT